TGTTTTTGTCGACATCGTTACGCGGAATTTAATTTTCATGCCTCGCTAATGTTACCACGACACTCCTCCGTGCACATCGATTCGCCATAGTCTTTCTATCGGTTCGGATAAAATAATGTGCTCGTACGTGATTCACAGTGTTGCCTCCTTCAATTTCGTCAAATATCGAAATATAATAATTATTAGATTCTCAAGGCTTAATCGGTGTTCATTGGCGGTGATTGGCGAGCGTTCGCCGAGAGGGGAGGGGGGTTAATTGGCCTATTAAACGGGCAAGCTCGAGGGTTGATGATGTCTTGCGGGTCTCGTTACCGCTTTCACCATGTTGCGGATTAAAGGAGCCAAGGATATAATAATATTTATATCGTTCAATCCAATCTGTAATCTCGTTTAACCCGTTTATTTAGCTGTTGTACGATGAACATACACCGGTTATAGATGGTAAATGGCAGTTTTTTTCGGTTATTGGTGGTAGAAATTATTGAATTAAAAAAAAAAAAAAGAAGACAAATTTTCATTGTAATTTTATAACAATTGCGTGTTATTACGTGTTATTTTATGTTATTTTTATGACGTGTATTTTTGAAATAGGATTAGGAGTGAAATATATTCCATTCATATGAATTTTATCAATATCAACAAGATTTTTGTAGTGGCTAATTATCCGATCGAATCTAATCGAGTTTCGAATTATATTCTGAATTATTTTCAAGTGTCGCTTCACTCGAAGCACGCTGCGAGAGTTTATCCGTGGAAAATTTCTAAAATCTACTCGTCACGTGACGATTATAATTACATAGTATTACGAGCAATTGTTATATGTTTAATCACGTATTCAGCGACGTATTCAGACACGATTAGCAATAGGAAATGAAAATTATTGTTATTATATTTGGCACAATGTGAAATTATCATCGCTCGTGTTGTAGATGTTTCCAATATTCCAAGATCAATACCAATAACATGAGTTCATTAATTAAATTGACAGTCTAGATAATATTGCTCTATTATGCGGCCGACAATAATAATTTTCTAACACTTTCCTCACGAATCAACATTCTCGTCCCAATGTTCTAATCACATTCAGAAGAATTTCGGTTTTAAGTATAGAAAGTAGGATAGGAACCTTTCTACCAACTAACTTTATTTAAAAAATTATGGAAATCGTTTTCGTACAATATTGATCTCGCAATCTCGACGCGAAATCGAACGTTAAATGTTAAAAATTGTTAATATTTCATCTACGTATTTCAATCCAAATATATACGAGAATGCATTAAGATAAATTTACTTTCACGAATTTACTTTCTCAATCCACGCCCCATATCACGCCCCATATACAAAATCTTACCTAATTATAAAATATAACTATACACAATTTACAAAAGAAAAGCTTGTGATGCCATCGAATCGGTTTCCACTTTCGACTCGATCGAAATTTGATTTTACAAGGCCCCCTAATACTATATAACAACGCGATTAACGATTTATTAATCTCCAGAATTTCGTGCTCGTGCGAAATTCGTGCATACTCGAGCAAAAGCTCGGGGATGATGGTGGTGGGACGAGGATTTTACAACAACGACTCAGCGCGTTTACCGTCTTCCAGGGTAATAAAGAGGTTCATAATTTAAAGTGACCTGTCGAGATAGGGACTTATAAATTGTTTTAGCCTGCATGGTGGTCAGCATTATCGCGTCATCGGAATTACGAATGCTGGGAGGCTTCTCGAAACCTGCTTCCTCCTCTGTGCACACCCCTTCGTGCGGTATGGCATCTTTATTGTTTTCCACGGGTATCATCCCTCGTGCGTGCACGGTATCCGAATGGGAGGACCGCGTCGATTGTGTATAACGTTCGAAGTGAATCGTTCCGCGAGATACCCGACCGTTTTCAATGGACACACACGCATACACACACTCCCCCCTTCTTCGTATTACGGTAATTAGAAGCAAATATTCATACGGGATGAGAATTCATGATTAACGATTCATGATTCGTAGGAAGATCGAACGATAGGGGAGGATGTACACGGTACTTGGTTATGGATACTTAGAATTTTTTTATTGTAGCGTACGTTTGTAGATATTTTTAGATTCGAACGCTTAATTTTATTCCTTTTTTATGCTTTTTGTTTTTTTTTTTTCAAGAAATGGTATTAGTTATAACTCTCTCGTGTCAAGGAATAGTAATAAAATAGTAAATATCTTCTTCGTATAAATCATCGAAATGATTATTAATATTGATTGAATAAATATAAATTCAATTGGTTAGATTTTTATTCGTACATATTGTTCTTTTGAATTTTGTGCTTTCGATATTTTTTAATCTTTTTGATAAAATTTGAACAAGCGCGAAATTAAGCTAACCAATAACAAAAATTGGTTAATTATTGAGGTATCATACAAGTGCGAATAATTCGTGTTTTCACTCTTCATTTTGATTCGAATTGAAACGATTGATTGAAAAGTTTTAATTTATAATATATCGAAATATTTAAGTATCGGGGAATTACGAAAGAGGATTTTTTTCTAATTAAATCCTGTTACTGCTTACTGCATTTATTTTCAATTTAATTTAGTTCGAGATTGATTAAAATGATCGATATACACAAGTATACATAATGTAAAGCGGTAGAGAGTCGTCTTTGAGGTAAGAGTTAACTGTGTCAAAGGTAGTACTAAATTAATTGCTACGTACACACGATCATCTATGCCTGAATATAATTCGATCGATCGAAAGGTAGTATCTTATCTATAATACGATATCGTACGAAAGTGAAATGTTTAATCTGTAAATCGAATTTTTCGAGACCAAATAGAGAGGCATATTAAAATTCCTTCGAATAACATAAATTTCTGTGCAATTTCAAAAAAAATAAAATATTTTCTTCTCTCGAAAAATCGAATTATTTTCTGGTATAATTCGTGAAAGGAATACAATTGGTTTTTGATTATTGATATAAAATTATCAGACGGATAAATTACGACAAATATAATGCGATTACATTCTCGTTCAATTATTCACGTTTCGGAGAACAACACAAAGCATCGACTCGTGTTTAAGTTATTACAGAACAAAGTAAATATTTATAGCGGCGTCGTTACGCCGAATTAAATTTCTACGAAATTCACGTATCTATCTGTATCAAAATAAACTAGGATATATAAAGATACACGTATATATATCCTCCCAAAATATTTGAACATCGTATTTCGATCGACAAGCACGCGTGATTTACGTACACACGCACGGTACCTCCCCCAGAGATGTTATACCTTATATAATCAAAAATTTACCTCGATAGGCCACCGATCGTTCTGTCAGAATTCAAATCGAAGGGATGATCGAGCGTTTAAATATGCATCGATCGTTTCTCCATCGAGTTTCGTACAACTCCACGGAACGATAAATTTTTCACTGTTTTACGAGCAACCTCGAAAAAGTGGAAAGAGAGGCCGTTTATACGCGGGGAGGGGGAAACATCTCAGGACATCCATATATATATATATGTATCGATGCACGTTTCGAGAATCGATGAATCGCGCGCTCTCTCACCGTTTTTCCCCGGCCATTCTTTCTCGCCACTTCACCTTCCTCTTTGTACCTTTTCAACTCTCTCGATATAACTGGTTCCCAGGCAGCATAGACGCCCGCTGAAATTCACGGGCTTATTTGATCGCTTACTTTCCTTTTGACGTGAAATGTTCCTTTGTAGCGCGAAAATTTGCTTTTCACCACTATATTCGCCGAGATACACCGCGCGAATATAATTCCCCGACTGACCTTTCTTTGCTTTCAAAAGAGAGTAGGGGGAGAGGGGGGGGGATGGATCGTGGCGAATTTGCCCAGTTTTAAATAAATTGAACTGGATATATTTAATTCTGCAACAATGGCGCGCTTAATTTTTACTCGAGGTTGATGGCGGTTGTCCTTGATTCAGCGTGACACTTTTCGAACGAATTGTGCCGAATTTAAAAGTAATAATTCAGAGATTTCAGAAAAATTCGCGCGTTAGATTTCGTTTCGAAAATGAAAAATTACTCATGTTGAATAGAAATTGAAATTACAATTGACCGGAAGAATCGAGGACTGTGAACGAGATCGTATAATTTTTGCGGATCTGTGCAGTTATTCTTATTTATAATTACTTCGTTACACAGAAATTTTAAAATAAAAATTTACAGATAAAATATTATTACACATAATATTTTATCTTACTAAAATTCATAACATTTTGATTATGAGAAAAAGAAAAACAGCAGGTTATTATTATACCCGAAAAGAAAAATGGCTCCTCTTAAAGCCACATTTTCGCATCGTTCTCGACTATCTCGTGTCTCGATCCTTCGTTCCTCGATCGTCAATATCTCAAATATCCTTACAGTTTCCTTACGTTTTTGATGCCCCACCATCGTATTCACTGGAACAAACGCGTTTCACCCCCTCCCCTCTTCGAAGAACCAACTTCTTCCAAACAAATTCGGCTTTCTCGATCGGGGTTAAGAGTTTCTTATAGTACAGTTATCAAATGTGAGACACTCCCCACTCCTCAAGAATTGCCTACTTTCCGTAAGCTTCCTTCGTTCTCTTCCTCACGTGGAGGAGGAGGAGGAGGAAGAGAACAGCGACGCGGGGGAGGAGGCTGCTCGTGTTTGCGGGTGACTGGTTCGAGGGGGAACGAGTTTCGAGAGAACTCTTAGAGGGAGGGGCGGCACGACGGCCTCTTCTTCTCCGCGAAAAAGTTGGCGAAAAGTTGGCCGATCCTCGGAGAGGTCCGGGAATCTGCGTTCTTAGCCGAGACGTTTCCATTGAAAGCTTTCTTTTCGGGGTCGCACCTGACGGATCGACTTATCGCAACTTTCCTCGTCTCGTCCTCCTTCTCCCTTCTTTTTCAACGTGGATGAGAAAAGAAGAGGAAAAAAGAACGAAAGAATGGAGGAAGGAAGGAAGGAAGGAAGGAAGGAAGGAAAGGGCGCGAACGAGCCGGGGGGGGGGAGGGGGAAGGGAGTCCGGTGGAATACGAATTCTTCGAAGAATAGGAACGGGAGACTTGGGATACTCAAGGTCGAGTCGAGGGGGTAAGGATGGGAAATAAAGTTAGTTAGAAAGCTTGGAGAAAGAGCGAAATATTCCGGTGAGATTGGAAGAATTCCAGGAATACGGTTGAGGCCCGCTCACCGGTGGTGCGGCCGAATAGATTAAAGATTAAAGAAGAGGATCTCCAGGTTTTATTAAATATTCAACTATCCCTCTCCATCGTTTATAACTATGGATATTGGTTATAGAAAGAAAGAAAGAAAAAAAAAGGGGGGTGGAGAAAGTTATCTGGAAAGTTGTTATCCGGCTCGAGTCTTTTTGGAAAATTGAAACTCGAGCAGCTTAACTATTGGAACAATGTCAGATTCTTGCTTTTTTTTTTTTTAGGAATATACTTTTTACGCAATGGATATGATCAAAAATTTTTTTTTTTAAGAAATGGAAGAAATTAGAACCGCCAAGTTAAATAATTGGTTTGTAACGAAATTGCATTGTAAATTTTGTAGATGTGCGATACGATGTTGATAAAACGAAACAAGTGTTAATATTTGAATTGAAAAACTTGTAGAATTTTGAAAGAGATGTCCACGGTGTATACTTCAACAGGTTATCCTCGAGAACGCGAACGGATCTGATGGACGGATGCTGTATGATTAAAAATTTGCCTGTGTTTTTCACTATCTCTGTTTTGTAATCGCGCGAACAAAAGGATTCTAAAATTATAGCAGAGCAATTATCATACGCGAATTTCCCATTATAATACAATTTTTTAACACACATCCATTTCACCACATCTCCACAAATTGAATCCACGAATAATTCATATTTGACTCGATTCACGTCAACGTCGAATAATTAAAAAAAAAAAAAAAGATAAGTTCATTATTAATAATACAAACAATTTATAATACGACAGATTTATTAAATTTTTCGTAATACTTTTTTCAAAATCGTAAAATAGAATAAAGTGTAATTAATCATCGATATTTCTATCGAGTAATATTATTTACAGTACAATTGTTTCTTAACAACTCGTCAATTTCTACATTCTCAACGCTGTACGCACACCCGACCTATTCCAATTGAATATTTCACGCGAAATTTTCCACGCGATAGAGTTTTCCAGACCTCGTTTCGAGGATATGTCCGGTGAGCGTATCATCGAGGGGGGGAATATTGACACGAGAGGTGTTCGCCTCTCGCAGTGCCATTCGGTTCTTGTAGCGCGCGAGAAGACCTCGCAGTGCCCTTACACGTAACCTTACCCCCGTCGTAAAAATGCAAAGCGTTCCTCTCGCGAATAAAAAGCTTCCCTCCCTCCCCTCCTCAATCGGCGCGAACCTCATGAAAGTTTCAAAAGGGACGACCTAGAGGGAGCGTTGCGTACGGAATGCGTTGTAACTCTCTCTCTCTCTCTCTCTCTTTGCCTCCGCCATTTTTTCCATTCTACACTTCCGTTTGTTTCGTATTCGGACGCGCGGACTTTCGCTGCAACGCGAGTGCATTGATATTTTTTTTTTTTTCCTTTCCAAATCGACGATTTAGCAGCGGCAGCTTTGCAGGCTTTCTTCAGGCGCGGGGTTAGGTCGCTTGTTTTTAATTCGTTCATTGTTGCGTAAATTTCACTTTATTATTTTGTTCAGCTTTCTCGCTTTTTAACTCTTCGAGAAATCTCGATTAGCATCTCGAAGATGCTAATAGGGATAGGTTAAAACTGGTTTAAATTTACCATCAGCGAGAATGGTGGTTAAAATTCTATGGAATTGTTGAGGTAGATTTAAGATAGATTCCATTGCATCTGACAATGAGCTGAAACGGTTGAATGTTTGAAATGTTTGTTAGTTGAGGAATCAGTTGGGGAGAGTATTGAAAGATTCGCGAAATTCTGTGATAATTTGTGCGAATTTCTGTGATAATATCGAGGAAAACGAGAGCACGATTTATTTTACAAATAGATATCTCTTTTCTTTTTTTTCTTCTCATAGATATTTCTTGTTGCGAAATCTTTTCTCCTTTCTTGGAAATCTATTAGATAGACACGAGTGATTTAGCACCATTTCTTTTCTATCTGCCGGTTGATTTCTTTATTTTCTTGAGACGAAGATGAGTTATTCAAGGAATATGGATCACCTGCATTAACTCTCTTTCTTGGGATTCGTAAATCTTGGTCTATTATATATAATAAATCTCATTTCGTTGAAAGAATGGTTATGTTCTATCTTCTCTTTCTTTTTTTCTTTTTCTTTTTTTTTTGTTCGTTGAAAAAAAAGGAAGGAAGGAAGAAAACGCCAGATGAATGAAAAAAATGGAAGAAATTAAATTAAAAGAAGAATATTCCTGTCCACTGGAATATAAATTTCATTAATAAATTGAGTTATTTAATGAAATATTTTTCCAAAATTTTAGGTCTCTTTTAACCGTACTAATTTACTTTATTCGCTCTTTTAATGGATCTCTATCTTCCTCCGAACACCCGTAATTATTTCTTCCAATTTTCTCTCGATAGATTTGATCATTGAAATATCCAATGAGAGTTCTTAGCGTACAGTTGTTGGAAGCTTCTTTTATCTTTTCTTTTTTTCAAAAGTCTCTAGAACGAAAAAAAAAAAAAAACGTAAAGAAAGGATATTTAAAACACGAAGGAAACAATGTTAACGAACATTACGTGCATGCTCTTTCAATCTGTTTTTCTTTCTATTTTAAAATCAAAATGTATATACTTTATCTTAACAACTTTTGATCAATTTAATTATTATCAAATCACTTATTTCTTTCTTCCTTCTTCTAATATCAATAATATTCACGATATTAGAATTTCCACGCCAAGTGGAATCGCGTTAATTAATATTAAATAAGAATATCCGCGTGTTATACGAGATCAAATGAAAAGTTTAATCGCAATATTTAAATTCGTAGGTTAAATCAAATATTCAGTTGCATTAAAGTGATACCCCTCGATATATTATTATAAAATATGACGTTTCAAAGGGGAACATCGTGATTCGCGAGTAAGTTGAATTCTCTTACTTAAGAAATACGAGACACCTGTACCGATCCAATATTTCATATAAATTTTCCCATCAATTACATTTCCCTTTGCTCCTTCTCTCCATTTCTCTCACAATTTCCTTTCCTTTCCTTTCCTTCGCGAAGAAAGAAACCAATTCTTGTACTTTGTAATCCAACTGCTTTTCCGCTTCTCGAACGAGCTTCTTTTATTTCCACCATTGGAAACCGGAAGTCGGAACGCGTGCTTCACCCGCCTTTCACCGCGACGAGAAACGTGCCAACCTTTCCTTCCACGTTTGACAATCTTCTTTGTGGAAAAAGGAAAAGGATGCATAGACGTATCCCGCGCGATAAATTCTTTTTTCTTTCCTCGTTTCTTGCCTTCTTGTCTCCAGGATGGACAGGTTTACGTGACGGTCTCTCGATACTCGATCTTTTCGTATATTCCCCCTTCCTTATAGCGCGGATACGCAAGGAAACGCCATCTTTGGAAGGAAGTTGAACCGAGGATCGTTCGAGGGATACGTGTATTTTCGGGGAACCGAAATTTACGATAATTGAAACCGTGAATTACGAAGGTACGCCGAATTAGAAGAAAACTCTGCACAAATTTCATTCCGTTCTCCTCTGCAATCTTCTCTGCCATTTTGCGCGAGTTGAAACGTAAATCTGGATAAGCCAGGAGGAGAAATACATACAATGAAATATCTGCTTTTAATCGTATCTGTTTTAATCGGACTCTATCTAGGGGAGCAGTAGAATTTCTTCGTTCTCTTTTCTTTCCTTTCACGTTTATTTACGTTTACATTATATTATAATGTGGATTAAAACCTTTGCATTGGGAATATAATAATTGAAAGCAATGCTCAAGGCAATCATTGATTCAAATTTTTTTCCTTGTCACGAGGAACATTCATTTTTGTGTAGATATAATATATTTTCAAAATTATATATATATTCGATTAGATGAAATTTGAGAAAATGTAGTTTTTAAAATATTTATATGTTGGAATGATCTTCAAAATGTTATTCGAGAAACTTAAATAGAGAGTTTTATACCTCTCTCTCTCCAGTATCCATGTTTAGTGATATAATGATATAATTAGAAAAAAAAAAAAAGAAGAATTGTTAATCAGAAATAATTTTTGATCCTGAAGGATTATCAAATCAAACGTCCAGTTTAATTCTCTCAATTCTTCCTATGAATTCCAAATCATTGGACAATAATTTTTTCCCATCAAAAATTCCCCTAATTTCTCTCGTATAAACGAACAAACCACAAAGATGATTAACAATTTCTCAATTTTTCTTCTCGATGAACAATAATTCTTGGTTAGATCCTATCTCTTCTCCGATCGTTTTTTCCGTTAATTTTTCCCCGCGTAAAGGGAGGCAATTCGATTGCGGAGCAACAATTTCTCGGCCCACCAGTGGGGCTTGAACGAACCAATGCGTGGAGCTAAGGCAGTTAAGATGTTATCGTATTTCGGTGTGTGGCTAACTCGAGGGAATATCCTCGATCGCCTTTCACCCCACCCTTCTCGTCGTCCCGTTTCCTTTCTCATCTCTCTCTCTTAGCCCTCCCCCAACGAGCCTGCCAGTCCGATTCTTATCGATTTTGACCCCGCCACCCCCAACTCGCGATCGAGTTCCACCGCCTCTTTTTCGCCTTCGAATCGCACTGAATCTTCCTAACGGACTTCTGCACCACGCATTAATGTCACACGCATCCAGAGTCTCGAGATTTGACCCGGTTTCCTCGACGTCGAAAAGTTATATGGCGATATCCTCGCTTCGGATTCATCGTTCTGTATCATTATCTTTCTCTCTTTTTTTTTTTATCAACGAACTGTTATTGAAAGATAGTTTTAAAAATTCGTCGATAATTTGTAAGGATCGTATAAATTATATCGGAAATAATTGGTCGATATAACGTAAATTTGTAAATTTTCGAATATTAAAATTGGCAAGTTATTAATTGAATTGGTGATCGATGTTTTTTCTTTTCAAATTGAATATATCGCTTTTCATAAAATGATTGCTTTAAAAATCATTTCAATGATTTCTATATGTATTCGATCGATGTAAAGGAAAGCGACGATTGTTTCACAATTTTTTTTTCCATCCCTTATTTCTTCCCATCGAGTTTAACGATCGGTTATTAGTTTAATCCACCTTCGACACGCCGTTTCGAAAAGAACATTGTATTTATAGGAAGAGAGAGACCTTTCCTATCTCGATG